TTATTAAAACTTCGTCATTGATCATCCTTTCATGAACTTCTTAGGTTTATTATCATAGATTTTGCAATTACTTATCAGACCAGACTATATGCTCTCTTTAACGCAGGCCCTACTTTTTGTAAAATTTCGGACTGCACACATAATTTTACTGCTTTAAACGAAAATTGTATGCACTACATTCTTTGAAAAAGCGATGTATTACATATATAATATATATGTATATAAATATAAGGATAATAATTTAATAATGTAATCAAATCAAACAACAAAATTCGGGAAATACTTATATTTTCTAGTAGCTGCATATTATGTAATTTTTGTTTTGTAGACCGTAGTGCACACTTGTACATTCGTGGTGCACATTGTGTGTCGCGGTGCACGTCATAACAACAGGGCCAGCTTTGACGTTAATTTTCATATCAAGGAAAGCAGTTACGTTAGCACCACTTCATAAGGGTGCTGGTTCTTTTTTAGCATAACATAATTGTAAATATTGTTTCCAGGTTCACGTCATTGCCCACAGAATTTTCCAGAGCTATCTTTTCTAGCCAATCAGCCACAACTTTATAACGGATGCTAAGTAAGTATTATCGCCCACATAATATCTTCACACGAGACACACTCGGGACTGTCCACTCTTACAAACCGCTGAAAGTAAGACTTAAAGCTCCCATGTTTTGTTAAGAATTGTGTGGTATGGAATTCAGTATTACTGCATGCTTCCATCGTGCAGAGTTATCTCAAGTCCGGAATTAGCAGTTTTATTCAAGCGTTCTTGATGATTTTATCTATTCTTATATTTTATGGCACCACCGTCATACAACATTATCGACAATGCTCTTCGCCTAATATGGTCACCTCTAATAAATCGTAATGTTAATTATATATCATTTGTCTTATGTGCGGTTTTTTGGCTATAAACTTATGTAAAGCACACTGACTTAGTGCTAGAAATAAAACTTCAAATCATCGTGTAGTAAGGTGAGTCGTTTTCATTTTTTTAATGATTGCAAATAATATTTATAATGATTATACAAGATCTATAGGTATGATGTTGGTTTTCGGTTCATTACAGTTATTTATTGTCTTTATAAATATTATTTGTGGATACCTAGTTAAAACTTTTAAAGTATGCTATTATATTGTATGCATAGTAGGTACACACGAAATCATTTTCAAAAGTACCTAATTGTTTTAGAAAAAAATTAATTAAACTTATTGTATAACTAATGTCTAATAGTAAAAGAAATACTTTAATGACAATATTATATACAGGCAATAATGCAATATATAGTACCGTATCATGCTTAGACAAAAATGAATATAAAATAACTTATTAAATAACATTTTTTTAATGTCATATGAAATGAATCACAGTACCTATATAACTATATAATGAGTATTATTAATAGGTCGCTTTATTACTGGTTCTAATAAAATAGTTAGTTAACTAATTAAAAGAGGCTCGTTGCATCATATATTTTAATATTTATAACTAAACAGGAAGAAATCGGAAAAAAATCCAAACCCTAATCCCGTTCACTCTATTAAAATTGATTAATTGAAACATAGTTTTTTATTGTCATAAAAATTAATTATGCAGCTATGAATTCAAGATTTATATAATTTTATTAATGAAAACTTATACAATAATTATTGTAAGATATATTTAAAATCGATTCTTAAGTTTAAAGTTTCGAGCTCCGAAAAGTTTTTCAGATTTGGCAAAAAATAAAAAACTGATGACGCTTTATCGTTATAATTAATGATAATATAATCATTGTTACAATATTTCATATTTTCATAGAATAAACATATTTTCAAATAAATTTTCCGATCAATTTAACAGTGAAGGCTAAAATTGACTTTTAATTTCTCATTTAATTAAGCGGTTCTGTTGATTTATAAGGTAAATAAAATATTTTATAGAAAATTGAAATTCGCCTATAAAAAACTTTCTTAAAGTACTTATTTGTACATATAGGTAGGTAATCAAATTTTTTTTCCGAGTAGGTACCTGAAATACCTGCGTATTTGAAATACTTACTTTTTAAATTAAGTATCTTTATCTTGACTTGAATACCTACCTGTAAAAGTAGTTTCTTTTTTCTTACAAGACTGGTTTTAATTGTTTGTCTCTGTGTCGACCCGGCTTAACAGTAAAATTTTGTTTTGATTTGTGAATAAAAAATAATAATAACAATATTTAATTACAATATTGTAAGAAACAGAAACCCGTCTTGTTATTACCACCCCTTGRTTTTCAATCAAATGCAATATAACGCACGCGATCTGTTATCATCTATTTACGTAATTTCAAACACGAACTACTCAAGATAATATTATCTTAGTCGGCGATTTCAAATTAACTATCACTGATTTAATAGTGTTATCTACAAAGCGAATTTATCGTCGTATTTATCATAAGGGCGAAGGAATTCCAAACAACTTAACAGTAATATGATGATAATATGTTATATAGGTATTATTGTTATTATTATTATACAACATTACCGTCCTAATTATGATAATAAAATATTTTTAAAACTTGGTATTAGTATTTTATGACTATAATAGCACTAAGTCGCTCTTAGCGTTCTTTATTACGGTTTTTGTTTTTTCATTCATACCTACAATATAATATGCGAAAATTACTAACACGTATTCGTTTTATGTAGGACATCGACGGACTACAAGATGATGAACAATAATCAAGACGAAGAGCTCAAGCTCAGCAAAACGCATTTTGATGCGATCAAACTGTTGGAGGGAGCTTTACAAAAAATGGATGGAATTATATCTTCGGGTATGTAGATCTGATTATCAGTGAACATTTCGTTTTCCGTCCCAGAAACGATGATATTAAACATCGAACAATAATATTTCATTAACCTAAAGTGTCGAAGTTTTAATATTGCTA